GCAGGCAGGTAATGAAGTCACTGAAGATTGAACCATTCCTCCGAACAATTGGAGGTTGGTGTATGTAGTCCACGAACAACCTGAAAATTGAAATTTGGAAAAATTTTCAATAACAATAATTTGTCTCAGTTGAAAATGAACATGTTTTTAAGAATTAAGTCAGTTAATTTTTGATAAAATTCTTTTTTTATTGAGTGTTATTTGAGCTGTTGGACATTATTGACAATAATCTAATTCTGGAATTTTTGGATATCTAGTTTTCAGATGAAAAAAATGTAAACGAGAAATAACAATTTGGCTTAAATATAAGATTATAATAAAACCCTGGTGATTTTGTGTAATTAAGATATTGTGGAAAGTATGAAATCTAATCGGTTAGTAATGGGTAAAAGATAATCATAATGTTGAAAATGTTTATTTTATTTGGGTGTAATTTCACACCATAATAACTATTAAATTGACAAAAGAAAAAAGAAAGATTTTTTGATGTTAAGTTTATAATATGACTTCAAATTTTTACGGTAATATTACCTGATGTTGATGTGACCGCTGTAGTTCCTGCGTAAAAATAACGAATAATTAGAAAAAGATTGAATAAAAGTAGTCTATATTTATAAATTATTATTGCGTGTCTTTAAATAAAAATATTTTGTTACTTTCAACCTGAACAAATGTAATGGTTAATTCCAGATGCGCTGATAGTCGGAACAGCTGAAGAAGTGAATGTGAAACATTGCGAGCCTACGCCGTTATTAGGAACCCATTCAATGGCTTGACATCCTGGAGTACTGGCACAAAGATTTTGGCAGGCAGGTAATGAAGTCACTGAAGATTGAACCATTCCTCCCAACAATTGGAGGTTGGTGTATGTAGTCCACGAACAACCTGAAAAATGAAATTTGGAAAAATTGTTCATAACTAAAATTTGTCTCAGTTGAAAAGGAACATATTTGTAAGAATTAAGCCAGTTAATTTTTGATGAAAAATTTTTTTTTATTGAGTGTTGTATGAGCTGTTGAACATTATTGACAACAATCTAAGGCTGGAGTTTTCGGATCTCAAGTTTTCAGATGAAAAAAATGTGAACGATGAAAAACAATTTGGCTTAAATATAAGATTATAATAAAACCCTGGTGATTTTGTGTAATTAAGATATTTTGGAAAGTATAAAATCTAATTGGTTAGTTATGTGTGAAAGATAATCATAATGTTGAAAATGTTTATTTTATTTTGGTGTAATTTTATACCATAATAACTATTAAACTTGACAAAAGATAAAGTTATAGATTTTTCGATGCTTAGTTTATGATATTACACCAAACGTTTTATGGTAATTTTACCTGGAGTTGATGTGACCGCTGTAGTCCCTGCGTGAAAATAACGAATAATTAGAAAAAGATTGAATAAAAGTAGTCTATATTTATAAATTATTATTGCGTGTCTTTAAATAAAAATATTTTGTTACTTTCAACCTGAACAAATGTAATGGTTAATTCCAGATGCGCTGATAGTCGGAACAGCTGAAGAAGTGAATGTGAAACATTGCGAGCCTACGCCGTTATTAGGAACCCATTCAATGGCTTGACATCCTGGAGTACTGGTACATAGATTTTGGCAGGCAGGTAATGAAGTCACTGAAGATTGAACCATTCCTCCGAACAATTGGAGGTTGGTGTATGTAGTCCACGAACAACCTGAAAATTGAAATTTGGAAAAATTTTCAATAACTATAATTTGTCTCAGTTGAAAATGAACATGTTTTTTAGAATTAAGTCAGTTAATTTTTGATAAAATTCTTTTTTTATTGAGTGTTATTTGAGCTGTTGGACATTATTGACAATAATCTAATTCTGGAATTTTTGGATATCTAGTTTTCAGATGAAAAAAATGTGAACGATGAATAGCAATTTGGCTTAAATATAAGATTATAATAAAACCCTGGTGATTCTTTGTGTAATTAAGATATTGTGGAAAGTATAAAATCTAATTGGTTAGTTATGGGTGAAAGATAATCACAATGTTGAAAAAGTTTATTTTATTTTGGTGTAATTTCACACCATAATAACTATTAAACTTGACAAGAAAAAAAAAGAAATAGATTTTTTGATGTTAAGTTTATTTATATAACTTTATATATTTACAGTAATCTTACCTGATGTTGATGTGACCGCGGTAGTCCCTGCGTAAAAATAACGAATTAATTAGAAAAAGATTGAATAAAAGTAGTCTATATTTATAAATTATTATTGCGTGTCTTTAAATAAAAATATTTTGTTACTTTCAACCTGAACAAATGTAATGGTTAATTCCAGATGCGCTGATAGTCGGAACAGCTGAAGAAGTGAATGTGAAACATTGCGAGCCTACGCCGTTATTAGGAACCCATTCAATGGCTTGACATCCTGGAGTACTGGCACAAAGATTTTGGCAGGCAGGTAATGAAGTCACTGAAGGTTGTACCACTCCTCCGAACATTTGTAGGTTGGTGTATGTAGTCCACGAACAACCTGAAAAATGAAATTTGGAATGATTGTTCATAACTAAAGTTTTTCTCAGTTGAAAAGGAACATATTTGTAAGAATTAAGCCAGTTAATTTTTGATGAAAATTCTTGTTTTTATTGAGTGTTGTATGAGCTGTTGAACATTATTGACAACAATCTAATGCTGGAATTTTCGGATCTCAAGTTTTCAGATGAAAAAAATGTGAACGATGAAAAACAATTTGGCTTAAATATAAGATTATAATAAAACCCTGGTGATTCTGTGTAATTAAGATATTTTGGAAAGTATAAAATCTAATTGGTTAGTTATGGGTAAAAGATAATCATAATGTTGAAAATGTTTATTTTATTTGGGTGTAATTTCATACCATAATAACTATTAAACTTGACAAAGATAAAGTTATAGATTTTTCGATGTTTAGTTTATGATATTACACCAATCTTTTTATGGTAATTTTACCTGGAGTTGATGTGACCGCGGTAGTCCCTGCGTAAAAATAACGAATAATTAGAAAAAGATTGAATAAAAGTAGTTTATATTTATAAATTATTATTGCGTGTCTTTAAATAAAAATATTTTGTTACTTTCAACCTGAACAAATGTAATGGTTAATTCCAGATGCGCTGATAGTCGGAACAGCTGAAGAAGTGAATGTGAAACATTGCGAGCCTACGCCGTTATTAGGAACCCATTCAATGGCTTGACATCCTGGAGTACTGGCACAAAGATTTTGGCAGGCAGGTAATGAAGTCACTGAAGATTGAACCATTCCTCCGAACAATTGGAGGTTGGTGTATGTAGTCCACGAACAACCTGAAAATTGAAATTGGAAAAATT